CCCATCAGTAAATACAATATTTCAGGCTTTGCGGGCCGTCCTGTGTCAGCTCTACCTCAACCCTGCCAAAGCAGCCACAGACAATGCTAAGTGAATGGGTGTGGCCGTGTGCCAATAAAACTTGACTTACAAAAACAGGCGGTGGCTGACTTGGCCCATAGGCCAGCGTTTCCAGTCCCTGGGCCTAAGGAAACAAATGCGCTGGAAGAACACTGGCTGAAGCTCGAGGCTGAATGCTTGACATGCCTGAAGCTCAGTTTCCCCATCTGTAAAAGATGCTTCTAGCTTTGAAGTCAATGAGTTGTAAGAATGATTTCCAATATTATACTGAAAACACAGCATCACCCTTGCTACTGTTCTTCAATTTATGGTGCTCACTGCCAGTACCAGTCTTTGGCTATGAAACACATCATTGAGACGCAGGCCAGTAAAACTTTGGTGGGTAAGAAAATGCTAGAAGGTGACAGATGCTCTCATCTCCCCCAAGTAATCCTTTCCTGAAGATAATAGAAAACAGCACAGAAAGAAGCAACTTGCTCAGCATGGCACATATCACAGGCTCTTCAGTTTGGAAAAAAAAAAAAAAAAACCCCAGGAGGGAGAGATATATGTGTACTTATAGCTGATTTACATTATTGTATGGCAGAAACCAAAGCAACATTGTAAAGCAACTAACCCCTAATTAAAGATAAATTAAAAAATAGAATCCAGGAATCGTCTCATTCTGTCCTTTGTTAAACTCAGTAACAGTCCTTCTTATTCTTTGAAAAATAAACACCACCTTTCAAAAAAAGCTACATGATCTACTTCAACCTATCTAATTTGTGGTTTGTATTTAAACTGCCAACTACCTCCTAGATGAATATTTACTGAATATTTTAGTTTTTCCACCAGGTAAATACCTAAGTAAACTATCATGACTTGTATGCAATCTCTTAAGTGTATGATGTGTCCCAATTTTTGAGAGATTAAAACACGAAAAAAACTGAATTGAAAAATCCATTTTTAACAAACCTGGATTCTGGAGTTTACATTTCTATGTGAAACCTAGAACAAATATACTGGGGCTTATCTTGCTTTGGAGTTTTCTCCATCTGGAATGACCTCTTTTTCCTCTAATCTCTACTTGTTCATATTCTAAGCATTCATCCTAGCCCAGCCAAAAGCCAGCTCCCCCATGAAGGCCTCCTGACACCCCTACTCTGACATCTTACAGCACTTAATTGGAGTCCCTGGAAGGTACCATGAGCCGCAGTTGTAGTCAACTGTCTTCAGCTCTTTCACAACAAAGATCGTGTCTTACAATCTCAAACACCCAACCGCCATGAATGCAGAACAGCTCCATAAACACAGGTGTCCAGAGGCATATCCCCAGGACTATCTGAGTGGACAAGACCTTTTCATCCACAGTCACAAGTACTGTTCTTACCCATACCCTCCAGCTACAGTCTCTGTCGGCGTGACAGTAGCACCTTCAGTGCCCTCTAGGCTCAGATGGCCAGTGCAAGATCGATGCATGAAGCAGGGCGCCCAAAGCTGGTGCTCTGGGACAACCCAGAGGGATGGGGTGGGGAGGGAGGTGTGTGTGGGGGGTTCAGGATGGGGGGCCAATTCATGTGGATGTACGGCAAAACCCATCACAATATTGTAAAGTGATTATCTTCTAATTAAAATAAATATTAAAAAAAAAGCATAAGGAGCTAAGTTTTCTCACCTAAAAGCTGCTTTATAGACATCTGAAGGGCTTTTATGACTGTTCAGTAATGAAAGGACTTTACAGTGTACATAAGAATCACCCAATGAATTCGACTGCCAATAAAAGAATAAATTCCACAAGGATCTGAGTTGTCCGAGAAGATACCAAAATGGGGTGGAGAGATAGGGAGATCCCAGATGAAACAAAGGAGCCTGGAATTGTGATGGGTTCTATTCAGAGGGTCACAGGATTAAGACGAAATATTAGATCATAGATTTCCCTCTTGTTTCACCCTTCAGAAACACTGCCTTTTGATTATATTAGCTAATCCTGGATTTGGTCAAATGACTGAACACGGACATATGGAGATTATGAAATCTGGGAATATACCAACAGTAGAACAATTTTTAAGACAGCCATATTAAAAAATTTCTAGACCTACTAAACAAGGGAAAAACAGCTCTAAGTCTAAACAGTTTAACTTGACACATGGGGCTCATCTCGGATTCTTAAGAGGTCTGTGGCGAAGACGGCATTTCAGGAGGAGATGACAAGACAGATGGTGATTAGGAAGTGGGGGGGAGGGGGCGGTGCTAGCAAGGGCTGTCGTGTAGCCACATCATCCAGCCGCTACGTGGCCTCTGCTTCTCTGCACTCAGTTTCCTCTATGGTTTCCCCTGTAAATGATCCCTTCCATATAAAATGAAAACAGCAATGATTAGCTCCTTTTGCAGAGCTGTCCTGAGGATTATAAACAAGTAGCAAGTACCCGCAGAATGTTCAGAACTGTTGTACAGACCATGCAAGAAACAAGACAAACACGGAAGATACAGACAAGAAGGGAATGCCTGGAAAGCTCAAAACAGGTCATTTATATTATTCCCAGGAATACACTGACCCCATCCTCTTCCTCCAACTATCTGGGAAGCACACATGCTTTGCAGAATAAGCAAAGCTACGTTAACCCCTGTTCTTTCTTTTCATAGTTTTTTTTTTTTTCCTCTCCATCATTAAAAAAACTTTACGTAAAGGTTGACAGAACAATAACGTAAATCTTTGTGGACCCAATATCCAGCCATATAGCCCTCGGGTCATAACTAACCTCATTTTACCCACAGAAGGAAATGGCAACCCACTCCAGTATTCCTGCCTGGGAAATCCCATAGACAGGAGCCTGGTGGGCTATGGTCCATGGGATCGCAAAGAGTTGGACATGACTTAGCGAATGGACCACCACAACTATGCATTCCTCACTCCCAGTCCTGTGGGATGCTTTTGAATCACATTCCAAGCATAGACCATATCACTTTTCATAGTTTTTTTTTTTTTGAAACATGTAAGTCATAGCTCTTTGATTTTCTTGATTCAACATTCCTGATGTAAGTTATTTATAATGGTAAAATTGAGGTGATATCAGAGGTGCCCTTGGGGCCAGAGGAAAATTTAGAAATGAATGACTTCAATAAAAAAGAGACAGTGAGTCAAGACAGAGGTAAAGTAGCCTTAGGACCTGTGTTATCATGATGTTGTGAGTTCTGCTTTATCCTGTGGTTCAGCTGGATCTCAGTCCTACAGCATCAGCTGGAGGAGGAAGGAGAATGTCTCATGATTCCCTGAACAGTCTGACCTCTCTCCTGCCTCCACATCTCTCTTGCATTGTTGTTCTCTGATTGCTACGTTGTGTCTGACTCTCTGGGACCCCCTGGACTGTAGCCCACCAGGCTCCTCTGTCCACAGGATTTCCCACACAAGAATACTGGAGTGGGTTGCCATTTTCTCCTCCCCGGGAATCTTCCTGACCTAGGGATCAAACCCACATTTCCTGTGTCTCCAGCACTGTCAGGCAGATTCTTTACCACTGAGCCACCAGGGAAGCTGGTCCTCTTGTTACTGGACCCGTAACCACTGTCAACTTCGAGCTATCTTCCTTCCTCAATTCCTCTAGTCAAAATGCTCCTTATTGGGACTTTTCTGGAGGTCCAGTGGCTAAGATTCCACACTCCCAATACTGGGGGCCTGGGTTCCATCCCTGGTGGGGAGAACTAGATCCCACATGCCACAACTAAGAGTTTGCAAGCCACAACTAAGATCCGGTGCAGTCAAATAAATAAAATATTAAAAACCTTTCTCTCTGCATTGCGTCCACACCACACAATAGGTACTCAATAAATGCTTGTGCTTTGACTGAATGGGGCAGAGGGCTTATCTCCTTCTGTCTTATACCTTAGTGGTTTTCACACCTCTCCTAGTACATTTTAAATCCCTGAGGAAGTAATTGTGTTTAATCAGCTCTGTGTCCCCTATGTCCTCATGAGTTTATCTGCACACAGTAGGTGCTCAAAAAGTGTCTCATGACCAGAGAGAAGCTCTGGGAAAAGTCCTAACTTTGCCAAGAGGTCAGAGAATTATAAAAGCTTCTGGAGAATGACTTCATGTAAATTACGGGCACATGAGCAAAAATACAACATGGTGATTTTTTTCACTGGTTTCTCATCTTAGGGAAGCAAATTTGGGCTTGTCATCATCAAAGGAAAAGAATTCGGGCATAGCTTTCTCTGTCCAAATGACTGAACAACACCCTAATCCTACTTTTCCTCCTGCCTCTTCTCAAGGTGAAGGCTACATGGAATTATTGCACAGAGGATGGAAATCCAGGCCTGAGTCTGAGACAGAGGTCCTCTGTGCTGTGCCTGCTCATTAATTAGTCACTGGAAACTCCGGGACAGGGCCATTAACATGCTCATAAACCTTTGATTTTAAATGTTTTCGCTTAGCCACAATCCTAATGTGACTCTCCTTGTAAGCTGGTCGGAGGACATTTGTTTCTTCACATTTCTGAGGCTCATTAACTCCGGCAGCCCAGCGCCTCATTAACTAGCCCATTTAGGGAATTTCGTCTCCTGCCGGCAAAGCCTCCATCCCCTGGCCTCCCAGAGCCTCTGGAGGGCACCTAACTGGGACAGCGTGGGGGCTCCCGGGAGGGCGGGGGGCTCATCCACCTGCTGTCAAAGCCTCCTCCCTCCCCCTGGCCTCCCAGGGTCTCTGGAGGGCACCTAGTTGGGATGGCATGGGGGTTCCCAGGAGGGCGGGGGCTTGTCCACCTGCTATCAAAGCCTGCTCCCTCCCCCTGGCCTCCCAGAGCCTCTGGAGGGCACCTAACTGGGATGGCACGGGGGCTCCCGGGAGGGTGGGGCTCACCCACCTGCCGTCAAAGCCTGCTCCCTCCCCCTGGCCTCCCAGGGTCTCCGGAGGGCACCTAACTGGGACAGCGTGGGGGCTCCCGAGAGGGCGGGGGCTCACCCACCTGCTATCCTCCCGATGGGCACGGCGTGCTCCTCAGGCGGCGAGACGGAAACCATGATATGGTTCATGTATGCCAGGTCCTCCCGATGCGAGAGGTTGATGGGCTTCCCCTCCCGGTGCAGCCCATCCTCAGAGAGCCGCGGCTGCTTGAAATCCACGGAGTGTCGGGGGTTCAGGATCAGCGGGTGCATGATCGGGCTGGGCATCAGCTGGATGACCCGCGTGCCCTCCTGCCGGGGGCTGGCGGGCCTCGGGTGGGGCTCGGATGACGGCGGGCAGTGGTTGTTCTCCATGGGAGACACTGACAGCGGGTAGGGCTCCTGGTGGTTGTTCTCCTGGTGGAGCCTCGGTCCCTGGGCCCTCTCAGCTGGGGAGAGGCGGCGGATCATGTTGTCCAGGGGGGACCGGAGGGGCCGCTGCTCGGGGTCGGGAGAAGGCCGGTGGTTTGTTGTGATGGGTGACCTGGAACGGTGCAACAGTTCAATGGTGGGAGGGTTCTGGTGTACGTTCTCGGCCGATGGCCTTGAGGTCCTCTGGACACCATTATCTGTGGGGCAGAGGGAAGGATAGTCAGTGACCCCGACGGATGCTCAGGGTAGGGAACCCCACAGCAATCCTAAAGGTGACAAGCATGGAGCATGTGCAGCTGTAGGAAGACCCTTTCCCCCCATATGTGCAATCTTTTTCCCCGCTTAAAAAAAAATTAAATTGCACATACTTGAAATTCTTTTCCTGCCCCTGGAGAAGCTGTCTACAAGTATTCCATTTATCACCTATTAGTGGCTTATAAACACAAGGAAGCCACACACTCATTCTTTATTCATTCTTTATCTTTTTGTTACTTGACTCTTCAGTGTGGTTTTTCAGGGCCCTTGAGGGTCTCTCTCGAGAGGCTTTCACTGACTTGCATGTTCATAACCCAATTTTCATATTCTCTGCTTCCAGGAGTTGTTGCTATTAATGATAAAGATGATGAAAATAATAAAGCAATTACTGTCTATTCTATGGATTGGATTATATTGTTTAAAATTTACAATATACCCTGGTGGCTCAGATGGTAAAGAATCTGCCTGCAATGCAAGAGATCCCAGGTTTGACCCCTGGGTCAAGAAGATTCCCTATAAGAGGGAATGGCAACCCACTCCAGTATTATTTCCTGGAGAATTCCATGGTCAGAGGAGCCTGGGGGACTACAGTCCACGGAGTCACAACGCGTTGGACACAACTGAAGCCACTAATGCTTTCACACAAGTAGAAGATGTTACCGTTACTCCTGTTTATGACATGAGAGAAAAATGGAGGCATAAAGAAGTTAAGCAGGGACTTCCCTGGTAGTCCAGTGGTTAAGAATCTGCGTTGCAATGAAGGGGAGAGGGGTTCAATCCCTGTCAGGGAACTACGATTCCACATATCACCAGGCAACTAAGCCTGCACAGTCTATAGCCCATGGGCCACAAGTTGAGAGCCCGAGAGCCCAAGGCAAAAAAACCCAAAAGAAGCAAAGAAAAACCTGGGCAAACAAAAACGAAAAAAGCAAAAAAAAAAAAAATCCTAAAAAAAAGTTAAGCAACTTGCCAGAGGTCACCCAGACAGATAGACTCCAGTCAGATTCTATAGCCTTATATGCCCATTAGAGCATCTACCTCTTTGCTATATACAAACTGGGGGCAGCAGGGGGAGGCAGGGGGAGAGGGGAGTCACATCAAACCCTGCTCTGAGCAGGCACAGTGGGCCTGATTTACAGAATGACAATCTTGCACTTTAAAGAACATTTAGTAGCATGTTGTTTCTGAATTTACAGTCCCTACAAATGGTCAGACAGGTAGAGTTAAGAAGGAAGAGTGGACCCCTGACAATAAATGCCTCTTCCCCATCCCACCTTAACTCTCCAGCTGAAGACATTTGAGCAAAGACAACATCAGGAGTGTACACAGCTCAGTGGCAGAAGTAGCTCCATGGGCTGGGATGAGGGAGGGACCAGCAAACACATGGCTTTAGGAGGCCCTGTTCTTAATAGGGTCAGAAGTGCAGAAATCTGCCTACAGACACAGAGCTTTCTCCAGGGTCCCCTACTCATCTCAGTGAAGTTTCTCTGGCCACATCTATTCCCAGAGCTGTTTCACCAAAAGCATGCATATACCTGCAGGTCCTTTTTCTGGTCAAAGACTTGTCCATGGTTCTAAGTAAAGCAAGACAAAGTCATCTCCTTTCACCATGACGTCAGTATCTATATGAAGAACATATAAAGGGGATCTGGGAATCTGATAAAGTTAGCACACAAGAGTCAAAGGTGGTTGTTTCTTAAAGTTTAACACAGGGACAACAGGAAAATGGGGACTCCACTAGATCTCACCAATCATATGAGATGGTGAACAAAAGGAACATTGTTCATGATCATCTGCCTGAAAGCAAAGGGCTTACTTTGTAATCACTATATAACATGCTGCTATGAATTTAAAAGTGCTTAATCATTGGATTGGCTTCCCAGGTGGTTCAGTGGTGGTTCAGCCTGCAACACAGGAGATACCAGAAATGCAGGTTTGATCCCTGGGTCAGGATAATCCCTTGGAGGAGGAAATGGCAACCCACTCCAATATTCTTCCCTGGAGAATCCAATGGGCAGAGAAGCCTGGCAGGCTACAATCCATAAAGTCACAAAGAGTTGGACATGACTAAGCATGCACACAATCATTGGAATAGCTACCAATAGAAGACTGATTTAACAAGTGCGAGTCTCTGTCTAAATGATGAAGGATACACAGCTATAAAATGGAATAAGGAGTACCTTAATATTGTGCTAAGGACCAGTCTCCAGGCTCTATGGTTAGATAAGTAAAGTAAGGTGAAATACTATGGTATGCTATCATTTTTCTCCTCATAAAGAGGATTCCAGTTTCAATAATGGCAGAATGACTTGTAGCAGACTAATTTTCCTGTGTGTCTGGATAAAATGTATTTATAAAAGTTATTGAGGGACTTCATTGGTGGTTCAGTGGTTAAGACTCTGTGCTTCCAATGCAGGGGGTATGCATTCAATCCCTGGTCAGAGAACTAAGATCCCACATGCTTTGAGGTATGGTAAAAAAAAAAAGTTATTGAGGGGATTTTAGTCTTGCAAGAAAGGAACTGTCCAGAGTGAGATCCAAATTTATACAGCTTTCACCCAGACAGTAAAGAAGCTGCCTGCAATGTGGGAGACCTGGGTTTGATCCCTGGGTTGGGAAGATCCCCTGAAGAAGGGAATAGCTACCCACTCAGCAGTATTCTGGCCTGGAGAATTCCATGGACAGAGGAGCCTGGTGGGCTACAGTCTATGGGTCGCAAAGAATCAGCCAAGACTCAGTGACTTTCTTTTTCACCCAGAGGGACCTCCCCAGTCCATGTAGTCTGGAGCAGCTAGAAAAAGAACAGAAAGGTGCTTGAGATGCCAGGGAGTAGAGGATGAAGCTGCCAGAAGGGGGGGAAAAAAACCCACAAAAAAACTGAGAAAATTTCCATAAAGGGAGCCTCAGAAGGAATAGCCACTAACGGGCACATAAAATTCCCCCAAATCCTTAACATGTGCTCCTGACCAGCAGTGCACAGGGGAAACTCCAAGGAGCTCAATAAAAGGGAACAGCTGTATGGTTTAAAGACATGAGCAGAAATCTCAGCTGCTGGTCACAGTACTGCTGGCAAGAGTTCAGAGCTGGAGAGCTATCAAGGAAGACTCTGAAAACACCTCAGGCTATTTATTACCCCAGAATGGTCATACTTTTGGAATAAGGACTAGTGCTCTAGGACAAAGGGATCTGCCTGAGCACTAAAGGTAAAACTGAAATAGATGTTCCCTAGCCAAATATAAGATCTAGCCTCCACAAATTCAAATTGATCAGCCAGTTATTTAACTGCCTGCTAGCAGAAAAATCAACACTCTTCAGGGGAATATAACATAATCCAGAGTCTCTATAACATATATTTATAATATTAAGTATCCACTAAAGATTTCCTAGACATGTAAAGAAACATAAAAATATGACCCATATTCAAGATGGAAGGCAGGCAATAGAAACAGATTCAGATAATCTAGATACTGGAAGGAGCAAATAAGAACTTTAAAGTAGGTATTATAAATAAGTTCAAGTACTTAAAGATAATGGTGGTAATGACTGATAACAGATGAAGATGATCAGAAGAGAAAAGGAAACTATCAAAAAAGGTTTTTGAACTGAAAAATACAGTGCTTGAAATACTGGACTGGACAGACTTAGCAGATGGGAGATGATAAAAGAAAGGGTTAGCAAATATGAAAACAGATCAACAAAGATTAAAGACAAAGAAATAGATCTTCAGTGACCTGTGGGGACAATATGAAATGGTCTAAAAGAGATCAACTGGAGTTCAAGAAAGTGAGAATTTTTTTTTTTTTAAATGGAGGAGGATTTTTACCTCCCATCAACACATTCTTAAAAAATATATTATTTTAAAGCAAATTAGGGATTCTGATGGTGGTAGTTTAGTTGCTAAGTTGTGTCTGACTCTTCTGACTCTGTGGACTGTAGTCTGCCAGGCTCCTTTGTCCATGGGATTTTCCAGGCAAGAATACTGGAGTGGATTGCCATTTCTTTCTCCAGGGGATCTTCCCAACCTAGGTATTGAACCCATATCTCTGGCATTGGCAGGCAGATTCTTTACCACTGAGCTACCAGGGAAGCCCCAGAAATTCTGATATCCTATCCTAAATACTTATGTGTTCATCTAAGAAAATACGATGATTTTCCTGCACAGTCATTGTAACATTGTCAAACAAGAAAAAACAGAAAGAATGAGGCAAAAAAAAAAAAGAAGAAATAATGGCTAAACTGTCCTCAATTTGTTAACAACAGCAGCAATATACAAACTTAAAGATCCACGAAGCTCAGCAAATTCCAAATAGGATAAATACAAAGAAAGCCACATCCAGGCACACAGTCAAACTGCTGAAAACCAAAAATAAACAGAAAATCTTGAAAGCAACCAGAAAGAAAATATACAGGGGGAAAGTTATACTAATTATGGCTAACTTCTTTTTTAAACACCTAGAAAGACAGTGTGCAAGCATGTGCACAAGAAAAATAAGGACAGACTTACCTGGTGGTGTAGTAGCTAAGACTCTATGCTCCCAATGCAGGGGGCCTGAATTTGATCCCTGGTCAGGGAACTAGACCCCACATGCCGCAACTACAGAGTGTGCATGTTTCAGCTAAGACCCAGTGCTGCCAAATAAATAAATAATTAAAAATAAAATATCAAAAAAGAAAAGATATGGATGGAGACCTATAGATTGAAAGAGACTCAAGAAACACGCCAGCTGTTTGCAATGAACAAACAGATCCTTGCTTAGATTGTGATTCAAACCAACTGTAAAAACATTTATGCAATAGCTGGGAAAATGTGACATTAAGAAAATAGCTGATGATATTGAGGAACTATTAATTTTCAGGTGATATGGCTCAGTGGTTATGATTTTATAAGGGAATTAAAGTGCTTAATCAACCTTGCAAGGGTATAGGTTGGGATGACAAGTCC